ATTACTGATCAGAATTCAGGGTTACTTAGAAAAACAGTTGCAAGACTGAAAGCTATTTATTCCACAGAGCAATTTGGAATCTCAGCGGATGTAATTGATCTGAGAACCGTAGAACTATTTTCTGTTTTGCATTATACTTGCTATTTGTAGACTATTTTATTGAAACCAATGCGTGTTCTATGATTTAAGGTGTGCAGCCTTTCAGGATCCAAGCCATTAAAGACATGCATGATCAGATGGGATGTTAGTTCTGAGCCATGCTGGATCAGAAGTTTCACGTTCCATTCCTGTTTAATTCTGAGTTAGTTAATATTAGCTGCGAAGGAACTTGATGTACTACAATTGGCTTCATTCCCCCTGCACTAAAGGAGGGGGGGTGGGTGGAACAGCTTATATTCCTGCACCAATTACTATCCATGATTTCTGGTTGAAAGTTTGTACAATAAGACTCGTATGAGTCTTATCTTTATAAATTCTAAAATCGCCTAAGTTGTACATGAATTCGAGTCCCATTCAGTTTCCCACTAAAACCCACTTAGATTTATTTGCACCAATCGTATTTTAGAAATCAAATCATCTCCAAACTCGTAATACGGCTACCGAACTTAACAGCTGCAATAAATTGTGGAAAATGAAGTCCTATTCCGATGAGGCATTCACATACCGGCGGCATTGATGTATGCACAGTGTTCCATTTGAAACGAGAATGGGAAACAAAATCTTGACCTATCAATGCATGTGCACTTGCCAAGCTGTAATGAAGTACTCATGCACAGTGTAGATTATTGATTAAATCAGATTTTACACAATTTTCTCAAGTTTGCCTACAACTCATACTTGCCATGTGAGTTTTAGTGAAAAGTTTTATGACAAATGAAGACAAGTTTCAGTTTGAGTGTGATGACCTATGTGGCCAACAAGCTTATAACCAACCATTGTGTATAGGCTCAGGTGTAAAGAGGGGTCATTGAGTCACGAAAATATTTCTTACATCGATACTGAGTTGACAGCCAGCAAAGGTGTCCATATCAAAGTCACAATAACCTGCATATATTGAAGTGCAAAGAACAAAATGATCATCAAAGGATATGTACAGCTGCATTGGTATCAGAGCAGCTCAAGAAAGTATCTCAGGTTAAATATTAGAAGGTGCACAATCAGTACAAAGTGTTACCATTTTACCCTGAAACTTATCTGGTGCCCATATGCAGTAGAAGATTGTGCTAAGAGAGGCCTGCACTTTTAAACAAGTAGGACCTGAGCCTTTGATTGGTAAGAGGATCCTCAGGAGAAGTCTTAGAGTTGGAAGAAGGTGGCATTTGTGGTCAATCAAAAAATCAATTGAGGTAGATCCCATTTGTGCTTGACCTGGTGTCTGTTGCATTGAGACATATTTGCTGGCAATTGAGGACATTGGGATCCATTATGCTCCATCTGTAGAGAGAGAATCACGGGTGCACTTAATTTTGTAATTAACAACCGATGAAAATGATATAGTAATTATATTTGAGAAATGAATCATTTACCATCCTCATTTGTTATTCTCTGTGTACACATGTTTGCACATGCTTTGCATGTTACACTATGGGATGCACCACAGTATCATTGTGCATACTAGATACCATAGTCTGCCTAAACATCCTAAACTTGATGGGATTAGTCATATATAATGCAGTTTGCACATATGGTCTGTCACATTTGTATTCACAGTTAGGCATGATGGCTTTCTGCTTCAGAGGACATCACATTGATGCAAGCTGAACTCTGGAGTCAGGCAAGGACCTCGGAACATTATAGAACAAGATGGCAAATGTTCTTAGTTAAACAAAAAGGCCTATCATTTGAAAGCAATCAATCAATGCCAATTTCAGTTACCAAGTTTTGAGAGTCTCGCTGGCTCTTGACCAATAGCTCCGAAGATGAATTGGTTATTTACCCTGTGGCTTTTGGTGCACCTTGCTGGTGCAAAATAATAATAATAATCCTTGCATTTGATATAGCGCCTTATCACGTCTTCGAGACATCTCAAAGCACTTCGCAGAATATACCGTAAAGTGAATTGACTATATTTTGAGGGCGTAATGCAGCAGTCAATTGCACACACACAGCAATGTCCCACAAAGAGCCATGGACTGAATTTTTTTTTGAAAGAATTATTACCCTGGGAAAAGCGACTTGCCAGTCGACTAACAACCTGGTTCCTACTTATTGCTAGATAAACAGAGGTGTGTGGAGTAAGGAAACTTCCCCAATATTTCGCCCTGCCGGGAATCAAACCCAGGTCTTTCGCTTGCGAGGCAAATGAGCTACAGGAATCCAATGATGGGCACATTTACCCAGAAACTATGACTTCAATGGNAAAAAAATCGTAAAGAGCTTTGAGAAGTTTTGGGGCAATAAGGCGGTTTAAAAACAAGCTATTTATTTCATTACACCTTAGAATTGTTAGATTTTATCTTACCCTCAGATATGGAAGATGATTTAAAATGTTAGATTTATATATTGTAAAAGTTACATTTACAAAGAAACACATGTGCCTTTAAGTTTACAGTTGTATACACTGTGCTTGTGGTTCCTGAAACGTTCTGTCCACTGTAGCTAATGCTATTTAGGACATTTTTTATCATCCAAATTTATATTTAATAATTTTTTTTAAACNAAAAAAACACATTTGTGCTTTGTGAAATACATTTATGGTGCCTTAATGATATCTTGGAAACCAGCAATATATGTCCTTTAAAAAAAACTCTTTATTGAATGCTATTCAGTTCTTTAAAATCTTCAATCTTTAAAAAATGTTCTTTGTTGCAAATACTTACAGAAGTGTGATTTAAAAGGTTGCTTAAGGCCCTTTTGTAGAAATGTTGAGAGGTACTGAGTTCCTTTCCCTGTATTAGATAATTTTTTGTACATCAAGATTTAGTATTTCAGTTTAACTATTTTAAGATACTAATAATTTGACATTGCAAAATTATAAATTATTAATAACACATTATGATTAATTGTTATCGTTGCTACACATTCTTTTGGAAAAGCAGACCGACATCTAGATGCCACTGTCATCCTTGCTACAGTATTCAAATTCAGCAATTGAAAATGTATGCTGTCCAGTCAAACCTGTAATACAGTTATCAGACAAGTTTGTCAAGAAGTGAAGTTGCTGTCAATATTTAGGTTGCTTTTGGGCAACTGTTATTAAGTCTATTGAGCATCTCAAGAGGAAAACAAGCTACTTGCTTGAGGTATATCCTTTCCCTGTGAACGCTCCACAGACCAATGGGTCAGGTTTTAATTATATTTATTGCAATATCCTATGTATGAAACAAAACGTATATCGATCAATAAAATAAGGCAAAGAAACAGGAGTTATCGTTTGCAGCCTGTTGAAACTGTTGTAGACTGCAGTTGTCACATGCTGTATGTTCAGATCCATAATATTCAACATTGTCAATACACATTGCCAACAGTGCTAACACACCTAATCCAGTTGCACAGCATGTGTATTATAAATTCAAATGTGAATATATCAACTACAAAATGGTTTACTGTGTAACAGACATTTACTGCAGTTAAATTATAAAAGAATATATTTAATCTAATTTACATCTTAATGACCATTCCTTCCTAGTTTCATAACATGCAGACTTGTGGGTAAGATTATATTTTTCTATGTATGTCAGCCTCAGCAGCAACGGTAAAGCAGCTTTTCTGGACTTTGGGGTGAGCAGTGTGGCAGAAGATACCATCAAAGGGTGAAGCAATTAGTCCATTACAAATGTAAATAGATCTTATGGAAAAGTAACTGTTGAAAACATTTCTTATGTGAATCAAGCTGAAATGTTGTGTTGTGTTGTTCAATGTCTTGATACATTGAAGTATCAAGAAAGAAAACTTGTTATTATGTCTGGAGATGAATCCTGGCTATCACACAAACGTGCACAACGTCAGACTGGAATGTTAGTTAGCAAAGTTGAGAAATGTGAGGAGAACAAGAAGAGGATTGTGAGAAAGAAGTGGATAAACAGAAGTCAAAAACAGCCTATGTCTGGAAGACTTTTCCATGGAAATAAATGTCGGGATCCAACTATATTGTATTTTAAAATAGTTTTCAATGGGTGCTAATTTTATACTGTGAATTACCCAAAGAAGGAATTAATGTATTCAGAAATAAGCGTATCGAACGTTTAGATTGTGTTTGATGTTTTGGAGGGATGAAATCAAATAAGCTGAAGGGCCTTTTTTATCCAAATCTTTCTTGTGAACTACAACAAAAAAAGATACAGTGAATATCTAAAGAAAGGCATAGTTTAAGGTACTACAACATACATGAAGCTCAGAACTCTGTGCTTTAGTCTAAAGGTTTGTTTTGAAAGTGTAATATAGGTGAACAAGTCATGTTCCAGATTCTTAGCTTGGTTCGTTTGCAAGGATAACCCTCCCCCCACCGTTAAACTAAACTAAAGCTAACCTTTTTTGTACTAAGGAAAAACAGGATGATGCATTTAGAATTGGAAACAACGTAGTCCTTAAAAATGTTTCCATCCATGCACAGGTTATCATGTCGGCTTAAGGAATAAGTAACCCACATCTGAATCGAACTAGCAAATTGCTAATATTCCACCTGTATGATTAAACACATTTAAATATCTCTGAATGTAGATTTCATTTTTGCTTTATCATGACCACAATCTCACAGCCTGCTGAATCTCAATATTTGTTGCAGCTGGAAATGAATGGTTCTAGAGAGAGTAGTCGCAGTCTAATTTCAGAACAACATTCTGTTGATTTAATGCCAAACAATGTCAGTGTAGATTGGCATACACTGTTTGCCATTTATGAATCGAATGGCTGTTAATTAGAACCTTTTACGCATTTGTCTTAAGATCAAATAGTTGCGTGCACTATTCCAATGGAAATAATAGTACTTATCAAAAGTCTTCAAATTGTTGATGTCTGCATATTCATAAGATGCAATTAATGACTTATTTACCCTCTGACAGTGCCTATCAAGAGAGCTATACAGAGAAATTGAAAGCACAAGAACCCTGCTGAAAAAAGCTAGAAAGAAACAGAAAAAACATAATGGTCTTTCACAAGAATCGATCAACAGAGCCCAGTCCATGGCAGCATCCATTCTTAATATTTCACAAAGTGACCTGGAGGATATATTGGAATTAGAGGATGAGGAGGTAAGAAATGTTCCAGAACTTGTATTCCATCTTATTTTTTAAATAAAATTTGCAGTATTATTGACAAGTTATACAAAACTAGAAGACAACTGATCTGCAAAGTACCTTTGGAGAAAATGTTTGATGATTATGCAGTGGGAGTATTGGATTTTATTTGGGGAGAATATTTGCCAAACACACTGCCTTATTTCAGCATAGGGAGTAAAACGAGCACAATGTCAGTGTTCAAAGGCTTCATTGCCATTATTAACAGGTACTTCTTGTATAATGCAATAGAATTTACATTTATGTAGGACTTTTCACGTCAAGAGGTTGTCTCAAAGCATCCTCAGTTTGGGTGTCCAGACTGCTGCCTGGACACCCAAACTGAGTTGAAGCAGGTGAGAACAGAATTGGGGTTAGTTTCAAGAGTACATTTATTCCCAAACTTCCATGAGTTTTTGCATATGATATCATGTTGTACGTTTATAGGAAAACAAAATATCATATAGGACCTATAATAGTGGTAATTCATACAAAAGGGGCCACAGATAATCTATGTAAAATGCAGAACATTCACCTACAAAATACAGTCACTAACTTTACAATAAATCCTGTGAAGTGCTTTGAGCCATCCTCCTGATGTAAGAGGTGTTAATTCAAATAACAGGATTATTATTATTCGGGCCCTATTCAGCTGCAAATGGTTGGGAAAATCCAGAATTCCTCTCATAATAATAATCCTTGCATTTGATATAGCACTTTTCACGTCATCTTGACGTCTCAAAGTGCTTCAGAATATATTGTAAAGTGAGTTGACTGTATATTTGTGGGCGAAATGCGGCAGCCAATTGCGCACAGCAGTGTCCCACAAACAGTCGTGGATTGAGTGACCAAATTATTGTTTTTTCCTTGAAGACTTATTATCCCTGGAAAAGCAATCCGCCAATCGACTAACAACCGGGTTTCTACTTATTGCTAGCTAAACAGGCATGTGGAGTAAGGAAACTTGCCAAACATTTTGCCCTGCTGGGAATAGAACCCAGGTCTCTTGTTTGCGAGGCGAGTATTCTAACCACTCTTACCACTAATATTCCAGGAAGGATGATAGAAAGATTAAAGGTCACGCTGAGTGTCTGAAACTCTTGAGAAAGCACAGGTGAAATACACTGGGCCGTATAAATCAAATTGTTTTTTCAAGGATTAGATGAGCTCACCAGCGAATCTTAAAATAGTCTGCAAATAGAATTGACGCAGGAGGAGTGCACGCATAGTTGGAAAAAAAGGATCAAGACAAAACAGAAAGTTCTTTATTGTGGCATGCCCTTGAATAGAACAAATCACACTATTGCTGCTCTTGGCTTGTGCTAGCAGCTAAGTTGATTCTGAGCTTGGATGGTAAGTGCTTATTTAAAGAAGGCAAAGAGAATGGTTTGAAAAACAAGAACATAGAGGAGCACAAGACAAAACATTTATTTGAACCTCGGAAAGACAAGAGGAGAGAGTTTAAAAATGGCTTTGCCACATCCCCAAATTATGAATGTTGATGCCTTGAGTCTGGTGGTACACTAACTAAGAAGTATCTTCAGGTCTCAAATGTAACTAGAAGACCTCTTTCTAGACATGTGGCATAAAATTGGATGATTTCTGATCCATGAATTGATTTCATGAACTGTTTAACTGCAAGTAGTTGTGTCTTGGGTTTTGGTATATGACAAGCTTCAATTTGTGTTAAAAGGCACACAATCAGATTGTAGGCTCCTGCTGAGCTGCATTTTGGAGAGTGCGCAGATGAGCCAACACATTTGATAATATATTGGTTGGGCCCTTATCTACGATCTGCATTTATATACTCTCTTTCTTTGAGTTTATTGGTTGCTTTATTCTGTTGTGCCTTTCACAACTTTCAGATTGTATGGATACAGCAATTTAATGGAGGTGAATCTTTACTCTGTCACTCCATCCTTTTGACCCGAAGAGCATAGTGAGACCTGTTAAGACTTTATGTGCCTTTCTGCTTCTATGGAGTGTGTTGCTTTTCTTTACACTCTTTCATATTTTTCTTCTTTAAGGGAAGGCATATGGCAGCAAGTAGCAAGATATTTATTTTTGGAGTTTGGAACACTTGGAAATACCCTGTAACCATTTACACCCATATCATGTTACAGAGGTTGAACCCACAATCTTCTGACTTGGAGGCTAGAATGCTACCAACTAAGCCAGACTGACACACAAATATATCCATCCAAGGACTGGCTGAATAATCAAGAACTGTTTAACTGCATGTAGTTGTGCCTTGGGCACTTCCCTTATTCATGCAGTGCACCCCAGAGACGCTAACCCACATGAAGGGTGCTATGTAAGTGCAAGTTGTTGTTGTTGCTGATGATTCTGATTTTTATTAACAACAACAAGATTACATTTGTATAGCGTCTTTCACGTCGAGAGGACGTCATATAACAATATAACACCATAACACCATACATAATTGGCAATGCAGAATGCTTTGTTAAAAATTTCAGCATGTGGTAATCATGTTATTTGTCAACTAATGCAAATCATGTTATTTGTCAAAAGAAGAGGAATTACATTTTTGCCACTGAAAATGTTTTATGCTTTATTTCAAGTATCCATTAAAATTAATAGTGTTGAAATGAAACCAACTAACTGAACATTAAATATTGCAAAGAAAATTAACTAATCGGTCTGTCAGTTAAAAATCTGTAGGTGTATTATTAGAATTTGAAGGAGGAAAAACACAGTCACACAGATGCAGTCAAGCACACACTGCATTAGTATTGTCTTCTAACTTAGCATTCACTGCTAACCTCCAGACTCCCCTCATCATACAGTGGGACCACGTTTTCTTCTGGCACCGTTGAGGCTTTAGGTTTGATCTTCCCTCACCCACTCCTGTCTTGATTTATTGTATGTCAATTTAACCCACAGAAACAAATACAATTTTCAGTGCATTCCTCTATAATTCATTGTATCCCACAACAGTTGATTATAGTACAAGGGCAAGCACTATGTTTCTCAAAGACACTTGGGCAAGTATTAAGGTTTTATTGCATGCTGACCAGTAATGAGTGTACTTTGTGATGACAGTGCATCACAGTTGTGAGACCTTACATTAATCCGCTACATACTGCAGTATATGCAGTGAATCAGCATTACAAAGCATAATTATTTCATGTAACAAAATGCCAAGATTTCTAGATGTTGTGCATAATGTAATGGTGCTTCAGTCATTAAGAAACCTTCCCTTGACTCATCACAGCTACCCAGCTACCAGCCCATCTCCCACCTCCCTTTTCTTTCTAAGGTCCTTGAGAGACCCGGTGCCTCCCAGCTTCACTCTTTCCTCTCCTCCCACTCCCTCCATGAGCTCTTCCAATCGGGTTTCTGTGCTGCCCACAGTACGGAAACTGCTCTGGTCAAGGTCACAAATGACATCCTGACCATGTGTGACCAGGGCTCCCTCTGCCTCCTTGACCTCTCCGCCGCCTTTGATACTGTGGACCGCTCAATCCTCCTCCATCACCTCTCCTCCCACCTCAACCTTCAAGGTTCTGTCCTTGACTGGTTCAGGTCCTACCTTTCACATCTCTCTGCCCTCCCTCAACCTAACCTTGCACCCCCACACTCGGGTCCTGATCCCTGACTGTCCAGCTCCCCAACAATGCTCTGTCAGTGAATAAAGCCAACCAGACTTTGGGAAGTATGAAAAGATCAATAGCAAGCCGAAATAGTGGGGTAATCCTGCCACTGTATAAATCATTGGTGAGACCATACTTAGAGTACTATGTATAATTCTGGTCGCCGGAGCACAAAAAGGATATTGGAGAAATAGAGAAGATACAGAGGAGGGCAACCAAAATGATTGAGGGAATGGAAGGACTGGACTATGAGGAGCGACTAAGTAAATTGGCCAAGTTCACGCTGGAAAAGAGAAGATTGAGAGGTGACATGATGGTTATTTTTAAGATTCTAAAGAGGCAAGACAATATAGATCATGACAGGCTGTTTAAACTTGTCCAGAATAGTAGAACCAGAGGACATGGCCTGTGATTGAAGTGGGGTAAATTCAGAACGAATCTACGCAAACACTCTTTCAGTGAGCGAATAGTGAACCTGTGGAACAGGCTCCCAAGGGAGACGGTTGAATCAGCAAGTTTTGATTCTTTCAAATACAGATTAGATAGTTTTCTTTTAGGAAATAACATTATGGGATACAGGACATAGATAGTTTGGGATATATGTGCATGCGACCACCAGGAAGGTGGAAGGCGAACTAGATGGACCTTGGTCTTTGTTCATCTAGGGTTGTACTGAGCCCAAGAGGTTTCCCACAAAGGAAGAGGTGGGCATTAGAGGAGCACTACTCCATACTCATGAGCATGGTTTCAAAGAGGCATTCTTGGATGCCTGAGAACAATTTTCTCATCTCTGTCAGAAATAGTGTGTGCCACAGAGCAACCCCAAATAGGTAGAGAAAAAGTCAGGGGAAGATGTAAAACAGCTTCTTAATTCACAAGCAGCAGAGATATTGTTTGTGTATTTTCAAATTTTGAAATGTCTTGTCTAATACAGATACAGTATACCGATGAGAGGTGATCCAAGAATACCAATGTGCCATAAGTATTGTGATGTGATACAAGTATACAGATGTACACTGATGTGATGTGTTTGGTTTTACTAGTATCTTTATAGTTTTTTTCTCCAAACAAGAGCTTGTCATATTTTGTTTTCTAATTCAAACCTAACAACACTAAAGTGCATATGACAAGTTAACATTAAGCTATTTTTTCATTTGTTTGTAGGAGCAGGAAAAAGCTAAAACAACTTTACAAAAAGATCAGGAATGGCTGGCTCAAGTACAAACGATTATGGAAAGCCAGGTATTGAAACTTTACATGTTACAGATATAGGCATGAAGTAGGTGGACGCATATACACAATTGGGGGATCAACAAGATCCAGACCCACGAGTCCAGTACATAACTACTATTAATTGCATAAATTGAAATGGTAAAATAATCAATAATAATAATGCTTGCATTTGATATTGCGCCTTATAATGTCTTCGACAGTCACAAAGCGCTTCACAGAATATACTGTAATTTACATTTGATGAAGGTTAAGTATGATGCTACTGTACTTTTGTTTTACTTCTCTCTGTAATGCATTTCAGTATCGTTCGCTATCATGCTTTCAAATATTTTCTGAATTAACAGTAGACAAGGGTAAGCTTGTCTGGATATAACGTGTTGTTGGAACTCTAATCGAACATCAGTATTCTCCTTTTCCCTGCATTATGATGATGAACAATTATGCTATGCCATAATTACTTAAATTATAACAATTCAACATAATCTGCTGCCTAATGAAGTAGGCCATTTCTGTACCAGGAACAAAACGCAGATATCTAATAGTTTTTCTGACCTCTTAAGTCAAATGTGTAAAGAAATGATATTTCTATTTGAGCAGTCTCCCCTTTTCAATGGTGCAGCAAGTCTTCTGAGGAAGTCCTTGAATCACATTTTCAGCACATCAGAATCCAAGAAACAATGCGGACCAATTCAATAAACTCAGAAATGCTCAAACCTTGCTTCAATTCCTTAACTGAGCAAGTCTATGACATCATTGAAGTGCCGGAAGTTGCTCCTCTAGTTACCTGGCAACGTGGCTGTATAAGAGACTACCCCGTGACTGATGTTAGGCACTGATAGCCATTAAGTTGTTTGGGAAATTCACTTCCCGAATGGATCTTCTGGCCATGACATCTTTCACCTTCATGTAACTGACTGACATCCTGCAATTTACTGATTTGCAACAATGACTTAGATTTTTTCAATATAATGTAACTCTCTTAATATAACCTCACTGGGATTTGTGCCCTCAGTGTCTTCACTTCAATAATGGCCCTGAGTTTGTAGCTGCAGAAGAGCTGAATTATTTGGCTAAATTAGAAAAACTAGTGAAATGATAAATGCTGATATATTGCCACCTTTTCTCAGAGGAGCAAAATGGTTTGAACAAATATTTTAGAGTTAATAAATAGCATGTTAGATGTGGTTCATATGGTTTCTCCTGGCTATGACATATTTTACCCTAAATGTAACTTGAATTCACAAAATTCAATTAATTCAAAACTCTGTTGCCCGCATACTCAAATGCACTAAACTCCATACCGCCATTAACACAGTCCTTGTCAAACTCCATTGGCTCCCTGTCAGAGTGGATCGATTTCAAAATCCTCACTCGTGTACTTAAATCCCTTCGCACCCTGGCATCCCCCGATCTCTCCAACCTGCTCTCTCCCTACTGCCCGCTGCCTCTGTTCGACTGGCTCTGGCCTCCTCCTTGTCTCCCGGACCTTCTGCCCCACCATCAGTGGACGTACTTTCAGCCACTACGTCACAAAGCTGCGGAACTCTTTCCCTCAATCCCTTCGTCTTGCCCCCTCTCCCCACTTTCAGGTTGCGCTTAAAGACCTTCCTCTTCAACCGTGCCTACGGTCACCTACCCCCTCCCTTAGGCTTGGCATCAGGCTCCGCCACTGTAAGCTCTCCAAGATGCTGTCCAGCATGAAGGGCGCTATATAAATGTAAGTTGTTTTTGTTGTTTCTTTACCAGAGACAGATATGAAAATGTATGTTAACGTGTATTTGAAAGTGCACTCATGCCATGCACTAAGGTTGGTATTAAAGCATTTGCATAATTTAGTGTCATTTATGCATTGAAATATTATAATACAGTCACTTTACAGTAAATCCTGTCAAAAGCTTTGAGATGTCGCAATAATGTGATAAGGTACTATGTCAAATGAAATGGATTATTATCAATAAGAATATGCTTGCAATTTCAGGAGGCCTACACACAATAAAGGCAGCTTGGGGAGCTCATGTCACACCATGTAAACATTGGATTAGTTGTAATATAACTGGAATCTGGCCACATAGCAAATTTTTGAATATTAAAATTTTAAGTCAAATTCTTTGGCAGTCTTCTGGAACCAAGCTAAAGTTTTTAATCTTATTAGCGAGGTGGTGTGACTTCCTACTGTTTAATAATGTTTAATATAACTGGCATTCAGCACCAGTTAGCAGAGCTCAGTGCATGCACTGAGGTGCATATGAACAGAGCGCCACTTTGCATCTACAGAGCCCAGAGAAAGAGCATTGTGAGGCTAATAGTATAGTTTCATCCCTTTGCTCCTAGTATCTCATTGCTTAGGATAACTCTGCCAACAAAGAACATTCTTTTCAATATTGTGCTTATTGACAATTGTAATTTTAGTGGTTAACATCCCAGTTATGTGTTTGCAATTCTTTTCAATATCTAAATTCTAAATAAATGTTAATTGTAGAGGAAAACACCAGGTTCTTAACATTGTTTTGAGAAATAAAAAAAGAGACCTCCCTAGCAAGCAAATATAATATATCTGCAGTAATGAGTTAGCTGCAATGCTGCTCTATTATCAGTTGTTTATATTCAGTAATAAAATGGAACACCTGAAGAGTGGATCACAGCCCTGTGACCTTTTCTAAGGGACTCACTTGCAGTCAATTCATGTTTTCCTCACAGCTGGACAGCTGTTTATTACCATGTCTTCCTGTATTCTGGCAATATTTTCTACAGAGACTGTGCACAGCTTGTTAGTGGGAACTGAATATTGATTTGGCGTCCTGTCGATGCAGAAAGAATGAAAAAATGTCCGCTAGAGACCCTGCAAACATATTCCTATTGATATTTCAGTACAGAATGGAAAGCTGCACACTTGATGACAAGTCTGAGACTATCTTGAATCACAGGCAGGTCCACAGAGATTTCTATGTGACCTATGTGAAGTTTATTCCTCTCATCAGTTTCCAGGTTTTTTTTCTTTATTAACATACTGTCTTCGGGAATACTCTGCCTGTCATGAGTGATTAAGGACAATCAATTGACATTTGGATGTACCAATTTGTCCGTGGTGTTAGTGTCTTGAAGTTGGTTGGTTTGAAGTTGAATTGAGCTAAAGCCATGAAAGAAATATCTCCGTTTATTGTTGGCACTTGTTGTGGTTTGGGAGAAGTAGGGTTTTGAATGTGTTTTTGCTTTTATTGAACTAGTCTTAGTGTTTTATAATGGGAGCGTATCCACTCTGTTGTATACTACATTGTATAGCTAGTCCATGTACGGTAATTGCCATTGATATTATAATCTTTTACAACATGTAAGTCTGTATGTTTACCAAAGTGGAGTGAGTCTCTGTATGACTTCACGTAGGTTGAGCAGAATTTATCTTGCGAGTGTTTCAGTGCTGCATCTCCTTGGGCTGAAACGTCGTTGCACATTTTTAAAGAGGTGCTCATGGTGAGCTCCCGCTTTAGTTACATAGTTTCAAAACCAAAGTAAAACAACCCTGGTGTATTTTGCTGCCTTTGGAGGAGCCTTCAAATTATATACTGAATTGTGAAGTTTAGATTTAGATTACAGTCCTTTTTTGTTACCATATAAATATTAGCTTGTTTTCTGCCTGAGCTGTCAGTCCAAACCAAATAACAGAGTCACTGTTTCTTTGAAAATAAATATTCCTGGTCCTTTTCCCGAGACAATACAAGAAAGAGCAGCTTCACAAATAAAGCACCAAAATAGTTTGTTTAGAAAATGTTATTCCAAATGGGATATTATTATAACTAAGTTACACTGTTTCAAAAATCACAATTCCAGAAAGTATTAGGCGAATGTTAGCAAGAGCCAAGGCTTGGGACCCCAGAGTGTGTGCTGGGGTATTGTTGAAGTCTAACCAGCTAAAACCACATAGCTTACCATTGATATCGTTGTCTGGCAAGCTTTCCCGCTGCTTGTCCACCCTACTTGCAGGGTTAACATGAGCTGAGTGGGTTGACTCCTGCCCCCAGTGACTCGTCTGCCCTTCCAGGTCCTGCCGATGAGCCAGGCTGGCTGTACTGTCATCAGCAGTGCCCTGGAAAACGGTGGACCCGCCTGGCTCAGAAAGTGGACTACTGAGCCTGCCACAGAGAGCTGGCTCGATTCCGACATTCCATTACCAGGCATGACACTTTGGAGCCAGTTCAGCTGCAAGGAGACTCCGCTGAATAATAAGGAAAACAACCTGGCTTGGGCTGCATTCACCAGGTTTTGCATTATTCTTTATAACAATTTCAATAATAGCAAATGATAGTGCCATTTATGCAAAAAAAACCTCAATAATAATAATAATAGTAATAATAATAAAAGCACTTACCAAAGAGAGCAAAAGACTCCCAAAAAGAAGTGGGAAACATTAAGTGGTGATCAAAGGCATGGTCAAAGTGGTGGGATTTGGTCTCAGATATTTTAACCAGTGATTGATCTAATTGTATTATTTGAACTGAAGTACTGTTTTGCCATGTTTTGAACTGCAGTGATATTGGATTTGATTTCTCTGGCACAGGGGGATAGCATGCCATGTATAAAATAAAGTGGGACCAGAAACTGTTGGTTTATAAGATATATTCATCAAGACAGGTTAATTGTTTACAGTTTAGGAATACTTTTCCGGGAGTGATTGATGGCAGTGACAACATCTATTACGATTGTGACTAAAATTGTTGCTATAGATGTGATTTAGCTACAAATATGTTCTTGTAACTTGACAAATTAACGTGGAGATCAATGTGGGGTAAAATATTATATATGAGTTTTTCTGATATCAGATGTTGTTAAAGTGAGCTGGGTGATCAGATCACCAAAAATTCACACAGTATCTTTATTTATGGACTCTACTAAAAAATAACTTACTGCATTGAAACTATAACCTTTGAGTGTGAGGAACTTGTTGAAATATTTTGATTAAGTATTTCCAAAGTGATGGTACATAGTTGCTGTTCATATTATATCACGATTTTGGT